TAGTGTGTGATATTTTCTACAGCTTCTTTACTTCACTCTGACAAAATGACCCTAAACAGAACACCTATTCTAATCATTAGATTTAACTGTACATTTTATCTGAACACTAAACCAAACCTGAAAATCTCCTATGTGTTTAAATGCTCTTTACCTTCATCTTCATCACCTCTTGTATTATTTCCCCCCCCAGACTGCTCCCGAAGCCATACAAACACAACCTGGACTTCATTGATTTAATCAACACGGTTCAGAGCTCCTGGAAGGCCGTGGCGTATCCCGAGCATGAGATGTACACTCTAAAGGAACTGCATTACAGAGCAGGAGGCCCCGCCTCCCGTATCCCTGTGTGAGTGATTTAGTGCGCTAATAGTTGTATCATCTTTGTGTGATAGGCTGGTATAAAAGTCTTTTTAACATGAATTTGGATTTTAGTTGGCTGAATTTCTGTTTGCTTGCCATAGATGTGTCAGAGATATATCCCTTTAAACCTTCTTCCTCTTTTATTGCTTCAGGCGTGTTCGGCCTGCCCCTGTGGAGGCAGGTTTAGCCAAGATGGCGGCAGCTCTCCCTGAGCACTGGGACTGGAGAAACATTAATGGCGTCAGCTTTGTTAGCCCTGTCAGAAATCAAGGTGACCTTTCATTGTTGTCTCACACAAATAGAGGGGGGAAAAAATATAATTGCTACTTTGGTTAATTGGTTTGCTTTTAGAACAAATTATTAGATTTCAAATAAATAATTTAATTTTAATAATTTCTTATCTTTAATAATGCATTTCATTTCATTTTTTTTAAACCAAGTTAAAGTCACAATCAAAGGGATTTATTTTTTTACTTTAAAGGAACTAAAAATTGCAAGCACTTCTAACAGCATAGCCTAAAGCATCAGAGGCAGGTTTATATTTGACAGCTGCCAGTAATGGTTTCCCCTCAGAAGCATCTTATCACTCAATTTGCCTCCTTCCCTCTCTGCGCGTTTGGGTCTGCTCGCTGCTCTCTTCCTGTTTTCTGCACACTGTTGTGTGTGAGTGCAGCGATTACAGGGACTGAGCACTTTGAGTATCTAAGAGGGTCTCTACAGGTTTGGGTTTAAGTATCTGCAGAAATCCAAAGAGCTTGAATAGAATAGCCCTTAAGCTCGTGTGCAGGGTTATGGATCTTATCTTGTTTTATTGCATGAGTCTAGTCCAGCTTTTCTATAGTGAGGTTCTCACAGCATCGATTGGGTTCAAGATGCATTGATCTTGCTTGTGTAATGAATGGCTCTAACATGTGGAAGTATCTACATACTGAATACAATCTACATGTCTTGCATGTGACTTATCTCAACAAATGATCATGATATCAAATATACATTTCCTGCTTCCCTGTGCCTTTTGAATAAGCAGATACTTCTATAACGTGTTTCCAGCTGCAGAAAAGAAATAACGGGCATTTCTCAATGTAAGTACATGTTCTCATGTGCTTGTTAAACGTCATCAGCCTCAGCCCCTGTACTGTTCCAATTCACAAGAACACAAGACTGAGAACGGACAAAGTCCCCGAATGTTGTTCTCACCCCTCCCTCTTTACCCAGTATGCATCAGAGCAGACTTGTCATTCTCCATATTGACAGCTGCCCCAGCATGCACCGCGGCAGCAGCAGCTTCCGGTGTAGAGCTCACAGAGCTCAGTATTAAGTTAAAAGTTAACTTTTCTGTTGCAGTTGTTCTATAAAAGTATG